TGAATTCAGTGGGTTCCTTTCATGGTTGGGCCTCCCCTGCAAGTCTCTCTGGGTTTCATCCTGCGTGTTACTTAGCACGTAAAGGTATGAAAGTCAAGGGTGTGCCAAGGCTATCCAGACGAATGAGAGTTGGTGACAAGGATACTCCTGAACGCATCTTGGGTGTAATTAGTTATCAAGATTTGGGAGCCTCCCCAGAGAGAGACAGCCCATGCGAAACACACCCAGCAAAGCTGCCTGCTTCTGTGCCACTGCGTGGTTGACTAGTTTAAGTCTTACCTGCAGGTAGTCCTTGACTTACAACCGCAAGAGGTGGAGACTCTTTGAGAGCCGTATGTGACTAAAATTCATTTTAATGTATGCCGATCAGTGTACATTCCACGTGACAATAAAGTTATTCTAAGCTACTCTAAAAAGGGACGCGGTGGCTCAGTGGCTAAGACAATACTGAGCTTGTCAGTCAGAAAGGTCGGCAGGTCAGCGATTCGAATCCCTAGCGTCGCGTAATGGAGTGAGCTCCCTTTCCTTGGTCCAGCTTCCGCCAACCTAGCAGTTCGAAAACACGTAACAAAAATGCAAGTGGAAAAATAGGGATCCCTTTGGTGGGAAGGGAACAGCGTTCTGTGCGCCTTTGGTGTTTAGTCGTGCCGGCTGCATGACCACGGAGACGTCTTTGGACAGCGCTGGCTCTTCTTCGGCTTTGTAACGGAGGTGAGCCACCGCCCCCTAGAGCTGGAAACGACTAGCACGTCGGTGCGAGGGGAAACTTTACCATGACCCAAGATAGAATTTCCAAGGGAGTTGCTAAATAAGTCATGACCGGGTTTATAGGCTCTTTTGCAAACAGCTGTTAAGTGAATCCCTGCACTCAGGGGTGGACTGCTATTGGTTTGCCCCGGTTTGGGCGAACCGGTAGCTAATTTTATCCTTTTTAATTACCAGCTCGGTGAACCGGTAAATCCCACCTCTGACTTGCTCTGCCCACCTCTCCCCTCCTAGGAGTCGCCACGTGACCCGTTCTGGATGCCAGGTAAGTACAAGGCCCACGCGAAGGCTTGGGGAGGGTGAAAAACGGGCCTCCCAGAGGCTCTGGAAGGCCAGAAACAGGCCCGCTTATGGCCTCCGTAGCCCGGGGGAGGCTGTTTTCACCCAGCAACTGGGATAGAGAACCATTGGTTGCTGAAATTTTTGAAGGCCCCCCCGCTTGTTTAGTGAGTCACACAATCACGCAATTGTTAGCAAGTCACACAATCATTCAGCGAATCCGGCTTCCCCCATGGATTTTGCTTATATCAGAAGCCAGCTGAGAAGGTTGCAATTGGTGATCGCAGGACCCCCTGACGCTGCAACCATTTGTAAATAGGGTGCCAGTCACCAAAGTGCCCAAATGTTGATGACACGGTTGTTGGTATGCTGCAACGGTTGTAAGTGCAAGTATTGGTTAAAAGCTACTGTTTTCAGCGCTGATGTAACGTCCCAATGGTTGTAAGTCGAGGTGTCATGCCCCTCTTGGAGTCTGACTCCGAGGGAGAGAGGGAACAGCTGACAGGGAGTGGGAGTGTGGCTCTGGCTGTTGTGGAGGAAACTGGGGAAGGGCACAGGCCGGATGGCCATTCAGAGAAGGACCCAGGCCCATCCCTTCTTCATTCTAGGGCACGCAGGGAGGAGTGGATAAGGGAGAAACGAGAGGGGCGTGGTCTACGGGGGAGGAAGGGGCTCTGATCCCCTTCATGGGCTGCAGCTGGGTGGACTGGTTAAAAGGACAAACTGCACATGGCAAAGGTACTGGAAGCAAAGCGTGCATTCTTGTTGGACCTTACCTGTGTTTTAGCTTCCTCCCCACTGTGGTTGCTGCATTATCGGGTAGAAGTCTGCAATTATTCATCCTTGCCTGCCGTAGTAATGCCTTCAGTGTGGTTTGTGTTGGTTTTTTTATTTCGAATTAACTTTACTTTGGGTGCAGACTGCATTTTCTCCCTCTGTAAACTGTTTTCTTTAAGAGTTTCATATCCTGCTGAGGATAATTGGACACTGGGGCCAAGTTGGAGGCATTAAACGGACTTTCTTCTATTTTTGTGACTTGGTTATTTTTGTGCCACACCTCGAGTCATCACACAAGGGCTGCCTATATCAGGACAATCAAATCTAGGCTGCAATATATTGGGATGACCGCTAGATGGCAGCAAAGAGATGCCTGAAAACCTAACCACTTTGCTGCCCTCTGATGGTACCCAGAGGTTTTGCAGGCCACATCTGGCTATCACTATCCATCATATACAGTATGTCAGCTGCTATTTCTGATCAGGATTATGTCTTCTCTGTAAGGATTAAGGACTTCTTACGGGTAGGGCCTACATTGAGATGATTGATTTATTTATACATTAGGCAAATTTATATAGTTGCCCAACTCACATAGAAGTTGAGTCCGGGCAATTTAAAGTATTTTTTTAAAAAAAATTCCTCATGATGTTGGATTCAAACTCCTATCTTCTCAAGCTATTGTGAGAACAGGAAATTGTGTTTGGGTCAAATTTATTGCGGCCAACTTGCCACGGAACAACTCACTGCAGGATATGAGTTACGGTCAGTGATGGAATACTACCCAGTGGTGGGATTTTGCCTGCCGGGACTGTGGGCGTGGCTTGATGGGCGTGGCTATGTGACTGGGTGTGGCTTTTTTTTTTGGCTTTTTTTGCAGTCCCCACCCATGTTTGGAGCCTTCTGGGCCTCAGAGGAGCCTCTGGGAGACATTTTTGCTCCTCTAAAGCAGTGGTCCCCAACCTTTGTGCCGCGGCCCGGTACCGGCATCACAAAATCATCCGCGGCCTGGTACCGGCATCAGCACGCATGGCAAGGCAAGCCGAGCAACCGGCCAGCCAGCCGTCCCCCGCTTCTCCCCGCCATCTTCAACTCCTCCTTTGTACCTGTGTCGATGGGCTTCGCGACGGCTTCGGGACGGTCGCTCGGCTCGCCTTGCCATGCGTGCTGAAAGAATCCTCGTGCCTTAGTTTTGTTCGAAGCCGTCGCCCCCCCCTTGATGAAACTAAGGCGCGAGGGTTCTTTCAGCACCCAAACGCCGCTTTCTACCCGGAAAAGCTCACCGGAAGCACTTTTTCATCAAAACAAGATGGCGGCGCCCAGCAAACCGGCGGCCCGGTAGAAATTGTTCCACGGACTGGTACCGGTCCGGGGACTGGTGGTTGGGGACCCCTGCTCTAAAGCTCCAGAAGAAAAGAAAAAAGAGCATAGGAGGGGCACACAGCACACCTCCACGCTCCGTTTCGGGAGCTTCCTGGCCTCAGAAGAGCCTCGGGGGGGGCGTTTTTGCTCCCAGAAAGCTCCTCTGGGGCTCAGGAAGGCACAAAATGGAGGAGGAGCCCCTCCCCCCCTTTTGGGCCTTCCTGGCCCTCAGCAAAGGGAATTCCGGCACAGCAGATCTATGTGCAGCTGATTGTCGGGAGGGAAAAAAAAGAAATAAATACCTTAGGCGAACGTCAGGCGGGCAGGGTGAGCGAGCATCGGGCGGGAGGGCGACCGGGTTGGGGGCCTGGTCAGCCAGAACCTACTACCAGTTTGGTGACCCACGCCAAATTCTTGCTACCGGTTCGCTCGATCCGGTGCGAACCGGCTGAATACCACCACTGATGTTACCAGTTCAGATCGGTTTAGCCCAATTGGTAGTAAAAAAGGCCTCCCATGATCAGCTGAGAAGAGGCAAAAAAGGAAAGATCAGCTGAGAGGAGAAAAAAGTGCAGGATTCACCCTCCCACCCGCCCATGTGCTTGTCTCTTTTTTATCCTCTCAGCTGATTGGCACTGGAGGCCACCACGGGTGTGGGGAAGCTGCACATGTAGATTAGATTAGATTAGATTAGATTAGATTAGATTAGAATAGAATAGAATAGAATAGAATAGAATAGAATAGAATAGAATACTTTATTGGCCAAGTGTGATTGGACACACAAGGAATTTGTCCTGTGTAAATACTCTCAGTATATATAAAGGAAAGGTACATAAAGAAAAGGTACGCGTGCACATTCACGCGATCACCAAACTAGTAGTGGAACAGATAGGATCCCACTGCTGGTTAGGGTACATTAGTATCGAAGAAGTAGCGGAACAGAGTCATTAAGAAAGGATGCTAAAGGAGGGATATAAGGAAATGTGAATAACGAAAATCAAAATAACTTTTTAATTATTTTAAAGAAGTAAATTGAATTGTTGAATTGTCCCGCAGCGCATTGTCCCGTGGCAAATTGGCCATGGTGAATTGGCTGCAGTGAGGTGTCCCATTCTGATTGTGTCGTGGTAAAAAATGAATGAAATGTTGAAGTGCTTGGACAGAGGAAGGCGAGAAATCTTAAGAGAGCACCCCATAGATACTGCAAGCTCAGTGGGTCATAGGATCATGAGTATAGGATCATGGCCAGTACCGGGTCTACTCTTGGACATTTTCACTTTAAAATATTTTGACGAGTGGGCAGCAAAGTCAGTATAGAGTGGAGGACCCACAACGAGATGTGATGTACAAAATGTGATCATTATCAGAAGAATTCCAAACCAAATTGAGTTTTTAAAAATTTATTTATCTGCATGTATCTAAAGAGATTCTCAATCTTCCAGGTCATAGTTATTCCAAATATACTCCCCCCCGCCCCCTAAAAAACCCCAACTGGACTTCCTTGATTTTTTTTTCCTTAAAAATGTTTCACTTCTTATTCAAGAAACTTCTTCGGTTCTAACTGACTGGCGTGGAACGGAAGGATTTATATTCTTTACGTGACGATCTGCAGTTTCAAAGCAATAGAAATGTACCAACATACGTGGGCATCTACTCTGTTAACATGCAATAGTTTCCAGAAGTTCTGAATTTAGCATAATGTTGAAGAAGGAGAGCCTTCAGCAATTGGATGAAGAAGACTTATTGTCATTTTCAGGACGAGATTGTCCTGCTCAGCACTGGAGGCTGAAAAATATCTGCTTTGATTCTTCCCCATGCAGACAAGCGGGGTTCGGTCAGGCCCAGAAACAATTCTGAATCAACCCGCGGGCCCCCAAATGTGGACAGGAGACGACAACTTTCGGAGTCCCAGGCTGTCACCGTGAGCAGCTCGGATTGCAGGATGAACCTCCGACCTCAAGGAACTCCTAAAGGTATGATCCATGCAGCACAAGAGTTTCTTTTTTAATTTCCCAGTCACTGATAAAAATAGGAGTTGGGTTATTTACCCTGTTTCCCCGAAAATACAACCTACCCTAAAAGTAAGTCCTAGCCTTATTTTATTTATACGTACTGTTTCCCTGAAAATAAGCCCTAGCTTGATTTTTACATGTGCGCCCCATATAAGCCCTACCCCCCAAAATAAGCCCTAATTAAGATCCCGCCCACTCCATAGTGGACGGGTAAAAATTAAGAGTGGGGATGGAGTGTGTGTGGAGCTGCACTACTGCTTACCTTTGGACAGTTGTAGCCATGCCTTGCACACCCCGATACCTGCCTTGCCGGCCCATTTCTTCAGCCGGCAAAGCTGGCAAGGCTTTTCTGAAGCCGGTAACAAAGCTCTGGATCGATCCAGAGCTCCGTTATCAGCTGAAGAGGCCTTCAGGAAAGTCTTGCCGGCCACAGAAGAAGGAATTTCTGAAGGCCTTTGACAGTGAAAAGGATGCCTGGGGCGACGCACGCAAGTGAGGTTAGTCAGTGGATGACACCCCCCGAAAATAAGACCTGGTGCCTTTTTTTAGTGGCAAAAAAAATATAAGACAGGGTCTTATTTTCGGAGAAACATAACATGAGTAGGCCTATGTTGGATCCTGAAATCCACATTTCTAACCCTGCCTTTTTGATTTTGCTATTTTATTCGAGTGGCTCAGCTTAACATCTTAACATAAAGGTTTAAAAAAAAAATGGAGGAAATGAACTATTTCTGTGATGTTCCTCCTCCTCCTCGTTCCAATTGTTCTCTTTATTTGGGTGTTCTTTGGTCTGCTCAGAAATACGCTCCTCTGTATTTCTAGTGTTCTGATAAAGTGTATTTCCTTCCCCCCCCCCTTTTTTTTTGAAACAAAAACTCGCTAAAAACACGTAGGATGAAAGGACTCATGCAAGGTTGGGTGGAGGTCAGTAGCAAGTCAACAGAGATTGAGGAAGCTTTGAAGGGCCAGGGAGAATTGGGTTTTCCTACTTTTCCTTCGCTTCAAATCTCAGGCTGTCACCGTCAGTGGCTCCGATTGCAGAACGGACCTTGTGACAATCAAGGGACTCTCAAAGATATGATCCATGCAGTACAGTAGTTTTTTTTTTAAAGGCAGAGATGTCCCAAAGGTACTTTTTTTTTTTTTTCAAGAGGCAACTGGACTTTCTTGTTTTTTTCTTTTGAAGATGTTTCACTTCTCGTCTGAGAAGCTTCTTCAGCTCTGACAGGTGTCAGGATTCCAGCAATCGCTCTAATTAAATCATGATTCTCGAGCCAAACTTCAAGAAACTTCAAAGGATTCAATAGAGGCGACATACTGGCCTACGTCCTTCACAGTCCTCTGTGATCCTGTTTCCCCCCCCCTCCCTGGGTGTGTCATAAATCAGATTCTCCAACTGAGCACCATCACAGGCTGGGTGTCATCCATCACGTTCTCCAATTAAATACATTCACAGACAAAAGCTCTGGTAGTTTAGTTTACAGTCTTTTAAAGATAAAGAGTTGGAATGGACTTTCGCTTCCAAACAGCTGCAGATTTCCTTCGCCCTCCCTTTTTAATGGCAACTACTAAAACAGGCCTAGGAATGTCTACCATTCTGTCTGATGATGTATAGGGTGGAGGAGGAGGAAGAGGAGGAAGAGAAGGAGAAGAGAAAGGAGGAGGAGGAGGAGGAGGAAGAGAAGGAGAAGAGAAAGGAGGAGGAGGAGGAGGAGGAGGAGGAGGAGGAGGAGGAGGAATGTGGGGTCCTTGCTGCTCTCGGAGCTCGGTGGCTTTCTTGCAGACGTTTCAGGACCCAACTAGGTAATGTCATCAGTGCTGGAAGGAAGTGGGATGTATAGGGTGGAGGAGGAAGAGAAGGAGAAGAGGAAGGAGGAGGAGGAGAGGAGGAGGAGGAGTGTGGGGTCCTTGCTGCTCTTTCAGCTTAGTTACTTTCTTGCAGACATTTCATGACCACACTAGGTAACACCATCAGTGCAAGAAGGGAGTGGGGAATGAAACATCTCCCAGATTCATTAGAGGTGACATACCTGCCCTGCCCTGTTAGAAGCCAACTCTGGCCTACGTCATTCACAGTCCCCTGTGACCCTGTTTCCCCCCTCTCCACCCCCCTGGGTGTGTCATAAATCAGATTCTCCAACTGAGCACCTTCACAGGCTGGGTGTCATCCATCACGTTCTCCAATTAAATACATTCACAGGCAAAAGCTCTGGTAGTTTAGTTACAATCTTTGAAAGATAAAGAGTTGAAATGGACTCCCGCTTCCAAACTGCTGCACGGCTCTTCCAGATTTCCTTCCTCCCCATCCCTCTTTTTTATGGCAACTACTGAAACAGGCATAGGAACGTTTTATGACATGACAACAGAATGGTGGGGAATGGAAGGATTTATACTCCTTGCAAACAGCTGGTCATTTGCATCCTTTTTAGAGAGTCATTGAGGCCACTTGGAGTCTCAATGGTGCTTTTTTCAAGAGGCAACTGGACTTTCTGGTTTGTCTTCAAAGACGTTTCGCTTCTCCTCCAAGAAGCTTCTTCAGCTCTGACTGGATGGGGGGAATGGAAGGATTTGTACGCCTTGCAAACAGCTGGTCATTTGCATCCTTTTTAGAGAGTCATTGAGGCCACTTGGAGAGCCCTCAACAGAGGGAATGGGACATGACATCATCTATCTCCAGCCTATAACACGGTCCTTTTAGCCATTCCAAGAAAGCTCCATTTCCACCACTCAGGTGACCCTGAGGACACAGATAAACCTCCAAGTGGCCTCAGCGGCCCTCTAAAAGGATGCAAGTGACCAGCTGTCTGCAAGGAGTATCAATCCTTCCATTCCCCGTTAACTGGTCAGAGCTGAAGAAGCTTCTTGGATGAGAAGCGAAATGTTTTCAAAGAAAAACAAAGAAAGTCCAGTTGCGTCTTGAAAAAAACTCCTCTGGGAGAACCATGAACCTGGATCACTGAGAATCTGCATTTAGACATAAAATGTGAGATGGAATTAGGACTATTTGGTAGGGCTGTGTTGGATCGTGACATTTACATTTCTAACTCTGCCTTTCTGATTTTGCCATTTTATTCAAATGGCGCAGCTTAACATCTTAATAACTTAAGATTTTTTTAAAAAAAAGAAGACATGACTTCAATCACCAAAAGTAAACCCAATACCTAAACCTCCGTTAATTATGCAGCATTGTTGACTAGATCTGCCAATACAGTTAGCATTTCAACCACTGAAGTTCACCCTTCACTCTTCCTTGTGAACAACTCGCCACAGCCAACTCGCCACAGCCAACGTACCATGGCCAACTTGTCGCGGGACAAGAATTACACTAATATTGAAAAAATAGTGGAATAGGATCATCAAAGAGTGGACAAAATGAAATGGGAATAGCAAAAATCAAAACAGCATCTTAAATTATTTTAAATAATTAAATTGAATTGTTGATTTGTCCTGTAGCGAGTTGGCTTTGGAGAGTTGGCCGTGATATGTTGACTGTGGCGAATTGATTGTAGTGAGTTGAATTGTCCTGCAGCAATTTGGCTGTGGTGAGTTGGCCATGGTGAGTTGGCTATGGCAAGTTGACCTTGGTGAGTTGACCGTTATGAGGTGACTGTGGCAAGATGAC